GAAGTCGCTATACCAGAATGCCATCTGTTCCTCCAAGTAGGGAAGACTCCTTGGACTCACAGTAAATGTCTACATTTCCCACCGACCGGAATATACCTGCCTGAATGTTTGAGGCTCATCCCATTCAATATTCGAGACCAAGGAGCTTCATAACAGATCCATGTATCTTTGGGTCGGCTGTCAACGAACCTTGGCGGTTGTTCACTGATTCAAAGCTTGTAAGCATATCTTGAAACAACCGTCTAAGATACCCAAGCAGCCTAAAAAGGAGCTAGTGCTATGTCTCGCATGCCTTGGGAGCTGGTCTCAGAAGAAGCGGTGACAGGCTTGATGATACGTCGATCCCATTGACACAAACAACATGGCAGCAGGAGCCGACTAAGAGATGATAGTAGAAGATCAAGAAACAACAGCACGAAGAATACATATAGAAATCGGGTGTCAACCTTTACCTAGCATATATGCCTTAGAACCGCCTTCTAGCATGGACAAGAACATAATCTGATTATTGTGAAGCTATACTGGAGCGACAGGTAAATGCTGACGTCATCGGTCTGACAGATAGCTGCTCAATCACGTGCTGGACACGCGGCCACGGGAACATCCTAACATCCCCAGCTTCTTGCGCCTTGAGGTGGATCCCGCTGTGACGGTGAACGGAGCTTCCCCCTTCGTTGAGACCAGATAAGACGGAACCATCGCTGAGCTTCACAACCACCACTTTTACGATCTCTATTGTTTCAAGCTATATATAGCCCCGTTTCCAAGGGTCCTGTTGCATCTGTTCTCTTATTATAACCAGGTTGCCTGGTGCACCTCTCTCATATCTACAACACAATCCGGGACAACAACTCATATACCCCCCGACCGGGCCTCGCTGATAAACGAAGCACGGTCCACAGTTAGTCACACTGTCTTTCGGTGACAGTTGAGGCTCGTCAAGTATCTCAGACTGTGAAGCTGGACGCCTAACACTACTGGCCAGCTCTTATATACAAAAGCAATCATGGTGAACATCAACATGAACCTGTTCCGCGCCCTAGGCGACTTCTCCCACCTCGGGTCGAAATGCGTCCTCATTTGGGCCATACATCGGAACAAGAGCGCTGAAGGTAAGTACGGCGTGACACGAGGCTAGACCATCCATGATGCTAACAAATTGTACTACAATGCAGGTGTTTCGCTCCTTACACAGATGCTCTATGCCTTGGTCTTCGTCACTCGATATCTTGACCTCTTTCGAAAAGAGGCCTGGGGATCTTTCTATCTTGTCTTCTTCAAGATTTTCTATACTGTGACGTCGTTCTATGTCATCTTCTTGATGATGAAAGTCTTCCCCCGCACACGGGAGAAGGAGAGAGCATGGAAAATGGGCTTGATCTCTGTTGGTCTGTCGCTTGTCCTGGCTCCTATCTCCCTTGCCATATTCAAGGAGTACAAATCTGGTCGGTGGTTCACTGAGGTAAGCTGAATCGTGGATGGTCTATCTGTGAGTGTCACAGTACTGACAGAATGTGTCTTGCAATGAGTAGACATGCTGGGCTTTCTCTATAATCCTTGAATCTGTCTGTGTCCTCCCCCAATTGCTCCTCCTGCGCCAGACCACCGTCCCGACTGTCATCGACTCGTACTACCTGCTTATGCTGGGGTCATACCGAGCATTCTATATTCTGAACTGGCTTGTGCGCGGACTGGGCGCCGAGGGCTTTTGGGAGCCGATTGCCGACATATTCGGGCTTGTCCAGACCGCTTTTTATATCGACTTTGCTTGGGTCTACTACTCTCGCCAGCGTGTGAAGCTCCGTAACGGAGGGGTGGTTGACTCGGACGACTTCCGCCACAGCTGGCTTGTCAGCAAGGTGCTCAATTTCAGACAGCGCAGGGTGGCGGATGAGGAGCAGAGTCTGAATGATGATGACTTTGAAGAAGAGAGGGTCAATGGGGAGAGGCCAAAGAACAATCGATGGGGCGCAAGAGGGATTTCGGTCTCCGCCGATGACACATTGGAGGATCAACGGCCTCGAACTCATGGCTCGAGCCATGATAGCAGCCTAGAAGGGTTCTCGGATGATGAGGAAGATGACGTTCCGGTATATCAAGCGAACAAGACCTCTTCTGGGGCCACTGGGAGCGGAGTTTAAATTGATTGGTTTTTTTCGGGCCATATATAGATTTCTCTGATGCAGATCTACGTCTCTGCTTACTCTCTCTTGGGTGCAATTTTCGATTCTCTACTCTGCCTGCGTGTCATCCTATCTCCAAAGCGAAATGTTCATCATCTTTAGTGTCTCTTTCACGTCAACTAATTTCCGCAATTCCAAATCCTTCTAGAAAGCGCAGTAGTGTCGAGCGACGACCGATCATCTATACCTTGTTTGGGACTAGAACAGTCTCAGCATCAGCATTCGAATGTTCACAGTATAGCAGTATGCTATTGCAGGATTGGGATGAAGTCATCCGAGACGGGCTTCGACGTGGGGATGAACAGGTTTTAACAGACGGACCCAATGTTTCAGACTTGATCTCCAGAGCACATTGCTGCGCCTGGCCATAGCCACGGCTAGGTGTTTGAGGATCTGTGCATCGATGCAGCAAATGGGCGAAAAGTGTTACAAAGTTGCGAAAGGGGTATTACGTGTGTGGCCAGCGCAAGCAGAGACTATGGGGAGGGGGCCGATTTGTTTTCACTCCCTTCGGGTTTGGAGGGCAAAAAACGCCTAGGGAACAACCTTGCATTACTCGGCATAGCCGGGGTGTGGCCTGTCATCATGATGGGGGGTAAACCTTCTCCGTCAGATCCCCACGGAGCAAAAAGAGAATCCTTTAGTGTTTAGCGGACATAGCCGTTCATCCTTTGGAGCGCGGAAATGATGAAGAAGGATACTACTTAAACGACACTATGCTTGAAAAGGGAAAGCGATGGGGAGTTCATGACATCACGTGTGCATCACGGGGTCTCCGATCGGTTGACAGGCAGAGCGACGATCTTCCCTTGACCACATGGCGACTTGTGCGATCCATGCGATGGTCGCAATCATGATACACCGGACACAACCCCTCCATAGGGCCAAATGCAAGGGTGCCAGGAAAACACACACCCGGGAAATTGACGGGACGAGATTGCCGTGCATGTTTCCAGAAGCCCTATGCCCGGCTGCCCTAGCTTGCCAGAAACAGTAACAGTTGCGCTTTTCAACATCCCCAGTGCGAAATCCGCGCCGAACGAACAGACGGCTTGATGTCGGCGATGGACGATGGACAGATACTCCGACAGCAATATCGCGAGGAGGCTGTTCCCTTCGCTTCTGGCGCGTAATCGCCCGTTTTCCCTTAAGACACGTGGCTTGGGTAGGATGCAGACAGCCGCTCGAATGGAGCATACGAACGTTCACGTCTTGAGCCTTAATTTCTGGATGATACTCCCTCCCCTCCAAAACAGTCGTGTCTCGACGAGGCCGGATGGATGCGTCTAAGAGAACAAGAAAAGAGATGAAAAGAGGCCATGCTTCAAAACAAACCTCCCATCCGGTTATTTCAGGGCCGGCAGCGAGACCGACTTTGGTGGTCAGCTTTTTGCTTTTCTTTTTTTTTCTCTCTTCTTTTTTCTGTCTTTTCCACGTTTTCCTTAACGAGCTTTCCGTAAGGCGAAGTCGAAGATCGCAGAAGCATGCCTGAGTATGACAAGCCTGGCCAGCCTGGGTTTAGTTCCGACCCATTTTGATCCACCAGGATTTACAGCCGCAATCACGACGAAGCGCTTAATGGCCTAACCCTGCCCGTAGGATCCCTGCCCCAAAGGAGTTTTGACTCTGTCCCTTGATAGTATTATTTCCCCTATGTTTTCGCTTGACCGTATTATCCCAGAGCTTTCCGAACAGGGTTTAGCTGCGTCTACTAGGCAAGCACGAGGATCCTGGCTGATGACTTTCGGTCGTTGGGGCTACCTTTCGCAGCCTTTCAATTCGTCCGGTCTACCTCGCTCTCCACATTTCGTAGCCGCTACAGGAGCTGCGATGCGTTCATCTGCCCGTCGGCCCTTTGACAATAATGATTTCTTCCTCTCTAGCATTCTAGCATACTTTCTCAATGTCCTCTTGAGTTTAGAGAACAAATCATGATTCGAAATTTCCCATTTTGTCTGCTCTTTTGGGACAGTTCTGCATCGATGGCGGTGTCCCATCTATGTACTGTTCAGCTCAAGCGCTAACCTATGGGCTTCCATTTGATATGGCGATTAAGCGGCTTTGCAACAACGTCAAACCGCGCTCATTTTGGACTGACATAATTCTACGATCCCTAACCCGGAGATCCAGGACATCGGCACTAAGATCGCAGTAGTAGGTGCTGCCTTGCTCTTGAGTAACGGTGGGTGGGCCTGGGGATGCAAGTCTGAGCCCCCCGAGGGTTTTTGGGGGCTGGATTGTCTCCGTTCTCATGTCGTGAGCAACCATGAGAGATTATCCTTTCCATTTTTCTCCCCTTTCAGAGCATGGCACTGTTTCTATCAGAAATGATCAGGCGCTTAAAGGCAGGCCCACCGTCGACCTTACACCTCCCACCAGGAACAATTTTGTGCGGCACAGCAATAGTGGGCGGTACTTACTATGGTCATCAAAGCTCGTCTCGTCCGTTGATAGACAAAAAAAAAAGCTTCAAGCTTCTGGCCCTGCCTTGCGAGGCATTTCGACTTTCTTTCACATTCCTTTACTTTTTTTATTATTATTATTTTACAAATATATGAACGCGCGAAGACTCTATCATCGATACGCCCTTTCATACCTTCTCCACTTTCAACCAGATCACTACAATTTCTTATACTATAATCTTTCCATCTTGAGGGGTGTAGGAACCTCGGATTATCTTTGTCATTGATATTGGCGGCCTGACAGCCTATTTATCTTGTTGGACCTTGCCATCGTTCTCCAGCTAGTCCTCATATCCTTCCTTCCCTGTTTCAATCACGGTTCAATACACCTCTCATTCACCATTCCGTCCTTCAACAACGAAGAGCCTCAACAGGCTTCCATCATGTATCCACAAACCCCACTCGGCTACTCGGGACCGATGACCTTCGGGCATGGTGGTGTTAACCCCGGGGAGGGGATTGAGGACCTCTATGCCGTGATGCAGCCGCAGTGGACCGGATTGGAAGCTGTATGTTGCATAGTCAGCCAATCTCCACAGACGAGCCACTTGAAGCTGACCAGCTCTGAGTCGATGCAGTCGCCTTATGGAGGAATCAACCATCCGTATACTACAACTACAGCCTTCCCCACCGGCTCCATCCTCACCCCTATCAGCCTTCCCGACAGCTCTTTCAGACCAAGTCCGGTACTCAGTCATCATTCGCAAGAGTTCCAATACAGTATCAGCGATACTGTTCCATCTCAAGGACTAGGTATCACGGCTCCATTTCCGAGCAACTTCCCTCGCACTGTGACTGCGGGCCTCGGCCATACCATAGATCAGCTCGAGTATGGTCTGGGCGAGGTGGGTCACTCGCCCCGGCCCCGGCCAGCAAAGAGGGCCAGGCGCGGCCCCAAGCAGGCAGCCACACCTCGGGAGGCCCCCGTAACGATACTTCCCAACCCCGAAGGTCTCCAGCGACTGGAACAGGAGCGAAGACAAGGGGCAGCCGAAGCCCAGCAGCAACAGCGGCCTCGAGCCCCGGGAAGGGGGCGCAGAGACCCGCAGGCGGAGGAGGAAGATGCATTCGTGGAGAGACTGCGGGAACAGAACCTCGCATGGAAGGTCATCCGCGAAATGTTCCGGGAGAAGTTCCATAAGGATGCATCCGAGGCGCGGCTGCAGATGCGCATGCTACGGCGGCGCAAGGAGCGCCTGGCTCGGTGGGATGAGAACGATGTGAGTACGTGCTCCGTCCGCAGGCCTAAAATTGCCAACTAATCATTAACGGCGAAGTCATTCAGATCCGCCTACTCATCCGGGCTCGGGATTATTGGGAGCACGAGAAGTATAATGTGATTGCTCAAAAGGTAAGGAGCATTAGGTCCACCAGCAAGAGAAAGATTTTTACGAGATGCTGACTATATCTCTCTGATCTCAGATGAGGGAGCTTGGTGCCGGGCAGTACACTCCGCAGCAGTGCGAAGCGCAGCTGCGGTATCTTGACGCGCAAAACCGGGATCGGAGTGGCCTGGCTGCGCGGCCACGAATATCTGAGCCTTCGCAGACACGACGACGAGTCTGGCCTCGTTCATCGTCTCAGAGCCTGGCCGGTGAAACCAGAAAATGATTATTCTTGTTATAAATGCATCTGTGGGTTCCAGGAGCATGTTGAGGCGCATTATGGCTTGGTTGGAGCTTTTTTTCTTTTTTTCTTTTTGCCTTTCTTGATTCCCTTGGGCTAATGATACGCCGGGCTGGACTACAATCGACGATTTGCATGGTAGCGTTTTCTTGTAATTGTCACACTCCTTTCTGTTGGTTTTCGTGTTCATCTTGATATTACTATACCCTGTGACCGAACGAGTACGAAATGAGATATCAAAAACGATAATAAATCAAACCCTTACAGCATGAAGTATATACAGTTACAATCTATTTTAACCCGTCAAGGATATCCATTCCGAAGATCGTGTAACTCATCCCTTGACAAGACGATCAGCATGCGGACTAACCAATGGGCGTGTAACTCTCGAGTATCCCCTTCTTACCCATCATAAAACGAAGAACAAAGAAACGATATAGTAAGCCAAGAGTGACACAAAAACAAGAACAATTTAAAATAGACTCTGGCGCAGTCATTTTCTTCTTCGCAACGGTTGCCGATCTCCAGCCTCGGAAGCCCACGAGTTGATACATACAGCCCGCAGTGCCGCAGCAAGCAGCAGCAGCAGCAGCGCCTCATCGCCAATAGTTAACCGCCGCCAGCCCCAAGCCACCGCCAGCAACCTTGAACCCACCACTAGCTTGACTCAACCACGAGGGACGCCGTACCCCGTACTGTACAAATCTCGTCTCTTGCTTATGCTTAGCCTAGGGGAACTCGTTTGCATCGCTTTCTCCATCTGACATCTTTGGTTCCGACCCTGTCCTGCCCTGTCCTGCCCTGCAGTACGACCGCTGCACCGCACCGGCATTTTGTTTTGGGGGATAATTATAACCTGAGTCGCAATCTGTGCACAGCACCAGCCTTACTATGCGCATGCCTGCCTTGACTGCTATACTTCGTGATCTTGTTCCCCGAGTTTCAACATCTATCTATGTTTAGTATCGTTTCCAAAGCACGCTGGATAGAGAGAGGGAGAGGCACAGCATCATTCTTCCTTCGTGTTTCAACTTCTATCCATCCCGACTCAGACTCACCAGAAAGACTACTATCAATATACTTACTTACTATCAACTTTCTTTCTTCCTAACTCAACCGAAATTGAACTCCATCCTTGAACCCTAAAATCAACCCGCAGATCAAAAACGCCACGTTTTTCTGTGGCTATTTCTCAGCCGCACACAACCCCCACACTGAGAAAGAAAGGGAAGAAAAAAGCAAACAAGGGCTACTACGTATCGCGTTCAGTGATGGATGTGGATGTGGATGTGTATCAGACTCTACTCCAAATTCTTGAAGTTGTAGATAGCCGCTATGGGCTGTATACGTGCCTATGGCTGTACTACAAAACAAAATGTATGGGCAAGGATCGCCACCTGGTCCGGGGTATGGGGGAGGACATGACTCGTTATACTTTTGGCTATTGACTACCTACCGTATCAGTGCTGTGCGGGTTGTTTGTTCTTCTTTTGTTGTCGGTGAGAGAGGTACGTACATCACATAGTTAGAGTGTCGAGGGACTTAAAACGTAAGTTGCTCTCCCTTATGCTTGTTCCAGGTCGTCATCGGCGTCTGAACCGGGGTTTTCTTGGGTCCAAAGACTGGGTACCTACCGGTAGCCCCCGGGATGGTGCTGGATTGACTCTGCCCTCTCGGATATGGACTGAGTGAGAGCGGGAGCAGGTTCGGGATAGTGAGTCAGATGGTTACTCCAGCTGGACCTGGATGAATAAGATGGGCGTCTCGCGTTGATCTGTCCGTTGTCTGTGACTGCAAGTTACTAGCCTCCGACGGTGCTCCCTGCCCTGAACGACATCGGCTGGCTACGGTATGTTGTGTGAGGTGCTACTAAGGTACTATGTGTATAGCCGATGGACGATCTAGATCTCGGGTCGCCAGGGCTGATATTTTTCTTCGCTGTTTGTGTTGTGTGTCTGGAAGATATGGAAGATGAGGGCGATTGCGCTTCTGAAGGGGGGGATTTGACCTGTTCATGGAGTTTGGATGTGTAGGCTGTGCTATTGTTGTTCTGGAAAGAGTCCTGAGGCTGACAACTTGTTTTTGTCGATCTTTCGGAGGGAAGGGGGATGTATGCTACAGATGTGGACCTCCCGGGGTGACACTACAAGTACGGATCGGCAGCATGGATCTGGAGCAGGACCAGGGGCATCTAAAAATGTCTATCATTGGCTATCGTCCTCATCCTCGTCCTCGCCGGCATCGTCGACGATCGGGAACGTCAACAAGGCCGCAACGCCGCCCAACCCGTCCAACCGCCGGCCGCTCTCATGATCCGAGCTCAACACGCGCACCTCACCACCCTCGACGTCCCGCACGCGATCTACCAGCGAGACCCAGCGTTTGCGCTCCGCCACGTCCTGCGACCGGAACAGCCGGTTGGAGATGATCAGCACGCCGCCGCCGCGGCCCACCGCCCCCTGGTCGACGGCCGACTCGACCTCGCGCGGGCCATAGGTCGCCTTGTTGGTCTCCTTGCGCAGCTGGTCCAGGAAGTCGTCCATGAGCTTCGTCTCGCGCGCGTACTTGGTATCCGCCAGAATCGTCTTCACCGCGGGTGACTGCAGCACCTCCGCCAGGGAGTGGAGGTAGCCCGAGGCCGAGTGCACCACCACGATGCTCGGCAGGAGACGTTTGAGCGCCGGCATGCTGGTGCTGGCGACCCCTTGGATGTATTTCTGGAACCCGGCCGCGACAAAGCCCGGGGACGCGAGGAGGACGGGTCGCACGGTCTCGTTGCTGGTCGAGAGCGCAGTGGCGCTGGTGTTGAACTCCATCTGCCGGACGAGGGTATCGAGGGTGACTTGAAAGAATTTGTTCATGCCCTGCAAATTCCCATTGCCATGAATGGGACCGTTAGCAAAAATAGACCGTTACAAGCGGGGTATAACAGGGGGAAGGAAGAAAACGGTTGTTGGGGGACACAAAGTAGCAAGGGGAGGGGAAAACATTACCTTGTCATGATCCCCGCCGCCGTGCCGTTTGCGAGGCACAGACATCTCGACCTTCTGTTTGAGGATCGTCTGAAACTGCCCGATGAAGCAAATATGAGCCAGTCCCTCCTGCATCACCACGGCCACGGCCTCGGCCCGCCGATTGCCACCCTCGTCCACTGCATCCTTGAGCATCTGCACGGCAATGCTGTCCCATCCCACCCCCTCCCCGTCGGAGCCAATCTCCTTCTCGAGCGTGAAATTGCGGTTCAGTTCGAGGTCGAGCGTGTGGTGCTGTCCGACCTTGGTATGTGCCGTCTCGTTCACAATCTGCCCGCTGACGTGCAGCTGCGAGCTCTGCGGGTCGAAGTCGAGGCTTTTCACCCGGATCTCGAGGTTCAGGTGCACTCGCGCCGAGCTTGTCGAGCCGGTCTCTTGGGTGGTGGTCACACGGCGGATGGCGCTCGCGCGGAGGAGGTCGCCCGGTCGGATGAGATTGTATGCGTGCCACTGTGTTTGAGAATAGGGGGGTAAGCATGGGGACTCGCCGTTGGGGGACTCGCCGTTGGGGTTCTCGCGTTGCGTACCATATCCTCCGGTTCTTCGGGGCACAGCGTCACCGTCCCGGAGCCATTGAGCTCGATTTTATTCTTGACAAGACGCATGATCGTCTATTCTCGGATTTGACAGGATATATGTGTATAGAAGAGAAAGGAGATGGGTATCAGATTCGCGTGAAAGCAAAGCGCTTACTCGTTGTTAGGTATCACGCTCTGCAAACTCGGCGCTGCTGCTGTTCTCTATTGTGTTCTGGAGAAATGACGAAGGGCAGCCGGCCTAAGGCAGAAGTGCGGGACACTTCCTGGAAAGGAAAGGTGCTGCTTGTGGCCGATGCTTATCGATAAGAGATAACGAAGCGAGCTCTTCGTGGATCATGGCTTGATTGTTAGCATGTCTCTGTGCCTCCATTCGAGGGTCTTCTTCTGGTATACTATATCTCATCATGACTGCTTGTCTTCAACTGGAAGATATACCCCTTGTTCGACAATAGGCTCTTTCATGTGTCAACTTCGTTTTTGACTCATTACCGGCAAGATATATTCTAGCAGCTATCCGTCTACAGAGTTAGAGGATCACCAGCAAGTAGGCTAGATATTTTTATAATCAACTGCTTTTTTGATGTCTCTGATACAAGGCTCTACAGGAGTACGGTATCTCATTGGAGACCTATAGGTAGGGAAGATCGAAGCCCGCCTTAACAACCAATCTTGTCTATAACACCGGTGTCTAGAGAGAAGATACTCTGTGCATCAATCCCAGGTACATATCCATGATCTAATTTCCATCGCATTCGTTCTGTATCTTCCTATCAGGCCATCAAACCCTGAGATTCGTTGAAAGAAAGGAGTTTTCCCGAGTGCCAAATTCCGCGGGTTCCTCTTTCAGGAGTATCCACAGCCGTCTGTGAATGGATAGGAGACGTCGGCTCGACCCTGCTACTTCACACTTCGATCATTTGAGCATCCGCAATTGTCAGTCTTAACACCGCACCATTACCTATATTGTATAACCAGTTCATCTGGTCGCTATCATTAGAACATCACGCAGACACAGACTTGAGGCCTCAATCGTACTCGTCAAACCTGAATGAGAATACAAAATTCTCAGTTCAAAAACTCTAAAGAGACTGAGGCAATGCTATGAATGGATCATGAAAGCATGTCCGGCGTCAGAAAAACAGAAGCTTGCTTCGGATATTCGCTCGCATCCTCAATGCAAAGCCGCGAAAGAGCAGGGCACCGGCGGTCGGATGTCCGAAACTCGGCTTGACCGCTGTCTGCAAGCCCAGGGACGGACGGAATCTTCAACTGATTGATAAAGTCAATGGACCCACAATTGATCTCTCGGCCCACGGCGATGGCGCATCCCTCGTGGGCATGCGGAGCGGGCACCTTGGAACTTGGAAATTAGTTTTTGAATGTTCTGTCCGCAACTTCGACGTTCCCTCTTGTTCTGTCTAGATCCGTCTACCTCAGTGCCCCCATTCACTCGTACCCTGCTCGATCAGAGTGACAGTGTACACTCGCAATCCCATATATCATGGCTCCACTTTCCCTCGCGTCGACCAGGAAGATGGTTTCGGGAGACGAGATCCCGGTCATAGGATTCGGGGTGAGTGATGGTCAATCCACGAAATCTCCGTTTCAAGCAGCGATTAACAGAAACCTCGGCTTTTCAGTCGTATCAAACGTATGTCTTAGGATCGAGCAATTGGCTTTCCACTGGTGCATACTGTGGTTCTGGCTGACAATTGCTTCTCCGCATCGTAGCCCTCCCGACGTCACCGAGAAAGTGATCCTCAAGGCCCTGGAGGCTGGCTACCGTCATGTATGGCTCTCTATCCGTTCTCCCGCTCACCATTGCAGCACTATGGAGTTAACTTCACAACTATCTACGTCTGCTACAGGTCGACTGTGCGCAACTATACCAAAACGAAGCCGAGTGCGCGGCAGCCATCCACAAATCGGGGATCGACCGGTCTGAAGTCTTCTACACAAGCAAGATCCCCGACACCCATATGTCTTACGAAAAAGCCAAGGAAGCCATCGAGGCCAGTCTGTCCGCAGCAGCATGCCTAGGCTACATCGACCTGTACGTTCTATCCTTCGTCCCCCCCC